TCTTTCTTTGACCCCCCTCACCCCCACCCCTCTCTCTCTCTCTCTCTCTCTCTCTCTCTCTCTCTCTCTCTCTCTCTCTCTCTCTCTCTCTTTCAGTAAAAGAAGAAAACTATTTGATGAGTTTTAAATCTGTGAAATCATCCGTATCGAGGAAAGAATCGCGTAATAAGAATCTACGTCAGTTTATTTGGGAAAAATGGGGTGGGTGTGTATGAGGGTGTGTGGGCAAGCAGACGGGTGAATGTATGGGTGTGGATCTGTGTGGATCAAGTGTGTAGAGGGTGGGAGTGTGGGGGTGGAGTCAGTGTATGGGTGGCAGGGGAGGGTGGGACAATGGAGAGGGGGTGGGTGTGGAGCCTTTCGATAAGCTAAAAGTGCAAGTCTCTCGGGAAAAGCAAGAATATAAACAAGGCCAGGAAAAATGTGCGCGCGCGCCGTGTGTGTGTCTGTGTGTGTGTGTGTGTGTGTGTGTGTGTGTGTGTGTGTTTGGTCGTTTGTGTGTGTGTATGTGTGTATGTTTGGTTGTTTGGGTGTGTGTGTATGTGTGTGTGTGTGTATGTATGTGTGTGCGTGTGTATGTGTGTGTGCGTGTAGTGTGTGTGTGTTTGGTTATTTATTTGTGTGTTTGTGTGTGTGTGTGTGTGTGTGTGTGTGTGTGTGTGTGTGTGTGTGTGTGTAATCATGTTATGTGTAGATGCCCAAGTTCAAAGTAGGAAGTGGGTAGAGTGCTCTTTAATATTAAGAGCAGACTCAAAGAACGAATATACCCTCAAATACCTAGAGAGCCTTTCAGAAATGCAGGCCCTAAATGCATCGACAAAGAAAGGCTGGTACGTTCAACTGCATTCAAACCCAATGATGTGGCTCGAATAGAAATGTATATGCGTTTATTTTTAGTTTACAGTGCACGTTGCAACACGCACGATCGACAACAAAGTTTGTTCACACAGCCATTGAAAGAGCTATTCAGTGTTAAGAAGTATCCCTGGAAGGCACTCAATATACATGTATAATATTAATATAATAATAGTAGTAATAATAATATAATATGTGTATGTTCAACATGAAATAATAAGTAACGGTGCAGCATTATGTCAATTTTAACTTAGACAAAATCGTCACAAGCAGATATAACAGCGAATACACGTCAGTTTTCTTAAATTAGAAAAAGCGTAAAAAGAAACATAATAACAATCGTCATAATCGTAATGAAATTTAATTATCGTAACAATGGTATCAATAATATGTAGCTGTCGTTACGTGTGTTGCCCTTCATATGATGATGATGATGATGATGATGATGATGATGATGATGATGATGATGATGATGATGATGATGATGATGAGGATGATGATAGTGGTGGTGGTGGTGGCTGTGATGCCAATGGTGTCAACGAAAACGCCGACTGTAATGGTGATGATGATGGCAGTTATGAAAGTCATCATGGAGGCATCATTTACATCAACAGTTTCAGTTTCTTTTATCAACACAAATACAACAACATGATGGAAACAAAATGTAGACATTCGTAAAAGTAATTAGATAGACAAACAGACAATGGACTAAATAGAAGATGAATACTCAGATGGATAGTTTCAAAAAAAAGAAAGAAATAAAGAGAGAGAGAGAGACAGAGAGAAAGAGAGAGAGAAAGAGAGACAGGAAGAAAGAGAGAGAGAGAGAGAGAGAGAGAGAGAGAGAGAGACAGAGAGAAAGAGAGAGAGACTGAGAAAGAGATAGGAGAAGATAGAAAATGTAGCTATCGTATTCTTATAGAAATCATAAAGTATAAAGGACAAGATCCCGTTCGCTAAAGGCGCAATGATGTCACCAATCTTGCTTTCACAACATACATGGAAAATGAGTATTTGCAGCATGAAAAAAGTACCAGCAACAAGAACCTATACCAGCTTGAACTAACAAACAACAACGGCGACCAGAAAAACAAAACAAAACAAAAACAAAACAAAAACAAAACAAACCCAAGTCAACCATGAAATTGTTCAGCAACATTTTGCATCAACACTATCGTTGTTATGTTAGGTGGGTGGGTTGAGGGGGGGGGTCAAAAACAGATGTTGTGGAGTTGTAATCAATGGCGACCTAGCTCGATAACGGCCATACTCTGCTTGTAACCGGTGTGGACAATAGCATAATTGAAGAAGTAAAAGAAGCAGCAGCCCAAACAACAACGCCTGCCAAATAAAATGCGTGAACATAACACATTTTTCCGAGCGGACGTTTTGTTTTTAACCTCGAGGAAGTTTCTTAATTGGATCAGGAATGTGACAACGATATTGACGAGCAGGAAAGGACCTCTTAGACGAGCAGTTATTTGAGGGCACGAAAAAGTAATGAACTTGTCGCGGTAAAGTTGATTCTTGTAGATTCACTTTGATGAATGTGCACTTGCTAGCTTGAATTCTAGAACCGATCCAATTATTTCAATCTGACTGTTCGAACAGGTGCACACCGCACTGTCTGTAACATGACATAATTTAGGTGTTCTGTGAAACGTGGGGAATACACCATAAATTGTCCTCGCGGCTTCAAAAACGTTAATAAAGCTACAAAGACTTTTCCTTGCACTATTTAGCACCATAGTTCACTACAGAGTAGCGAAAGAAACGAAAGATATGAAGAGATAAAGACCTTTAGGCTGCTTCAAAGTACTCAACGATTTTACCGGAAAAAAAACCCGTTCGAGATGACAACTATCAACTTTTAATGTTTGAGTTTTACGGCGCTCGCGACTGCATAAGGTCACGTGTGCGCGTTTCTTCATCTTTACAGAAGGCTAGCAAACTTCAAACGCGACCTTCCTTCCTTCAGGCTCACGGCGTTTCTGGGAGCGGTTAGGTGGGTATTCTGACCCAATTATCCCCATGTTCGACATGGACATCATGTACTTCAAAGTAAAAATCCAGAGAAGGTAACTTTCCCAAAATAGCCCGCTGACTTTTCAGCTTCTGGGCCATTTACTTACGGCATGTAACCTTTCGGTCACCGAACTCTCCCCAGCAGTTGTCGAAAAGGGGAAGCTCGATGGAGTGTGGAGGAGGTTTGAGGTTGGGATATCCTGTCAACGATCCCTCTTTTAAAATGAAGTGGAAACGTGTTTGTTTATTTGAATGTGTGTGTGTGTGTGTGTGTGTGTGTGTGTGCGTGTGCGTGTGTGCGTGTGTGTGTGTGTATGTGTGTGTGTGCGTGTGTGTGCGTGTGTG